TTTTCTTGCTCCCATCACAGCATTGAGGAATCCCCTCATAGACAAGCTGCTGGGTGCTAGCCCCTCCTCTTGTGTTACCAGAGGCAACACCTCAGAGGAGCACTGTGGGTGGGCAACTTGTTTACAGTCAGCAGAGCTATCCATGCTGCATACACCCCTTATTAGCCACAAGGACCACAAAGACCTGGTAATCTCTCCCACTTTACATTCGCATAATTTGACTAATAACATAGGTCCTCAATCTCCATTCTCTGATTACTCTGACTTTGCTTCTCCAAGAGGGAGGGAGGGAATGTTTAACTGCTTTTTCTTCTCAGCCATATATAGACTTATAGACTCATAGACTTTAAGGTCAGAAGGGACCATTATGATCATCTAGTCTGACCCCCTGCACAGTGCAGGCCACAGAATCTCACCCACCCCTTCTAGAATAATCCTCTCACCTATATCTCAGATGTTGAAGCCCTCAAATACTTTGAAGACCCCAAGATGCAGAGAATCCTCCAGCTGTGATCTGTACCCCATGCTACAGAGGAAGGTGAAAAACCTGCAGGGCCTCTGCCAATCTACCCTGGAGGAAAATTCCTTCCCGACCCCAAATATGGCGATCAGCTAAACCCTGAGCATGTGGGCAAGACTCACCAGCCAGACACCCAGAAAGTTCCCTATAGCAACTCCTATCATCCCTCCATTGACCTATTTCCCACGGATAATGAATGGTCAATTAGTTATCAAGATCATATTAGCTCATCAAACCATCCCCTTCATAAACCCATCTAGTTTAATCTTGAAACCAGATAGATCTTTTGCCCCCACTACTTCCCTTGGAAGGCCGTTCCAGAACCTCACTCCTCTAATGATTAGAAACCTTCGTCTAATCTCAAGTCTAAACTTCCTACTAGCCAGCTTATATCCGTTTGTTCTTGTGTCCACATTGGTATTAAGCTTAAATAATTCCTCTCCCTCCCTGATATTTATCCCTCTAATATATTTAAAGAGTGCAATCATGTCCCCCCTCAGCCTTCTTTTGGTTAAGGTAAACAAGCCAAGCTCCTTGAGTCTCCTTGAGACTGAGGAAGCAGCAGCTTAAACAAGTTTCTAAGTGCAACCAGACTCATAGTCAGAAAACTAAATCACTAAGGCCTACGTCAAGCTAGTGTTCAGAAGTGTGAGTGGGCCTGCAGCCTACAGCAACCGACATGGCTTTCAGTCTCTTTTTCCTCCTTCTCGGCTTCCCCTTCCTCTTTATATGCAGTCTTGCCCCCAGGGCAAGATAGGGTGCTTCTTGATCAGGGTGGGCAATAACACGGTAGCAGTTCACCAGGGTTAGCCTCTGGCAGGTCTTCTTTGCCCTTAGCTCCTATGGGAGCATAGGCCATCAACAATTTCTTTCCAAACCTCTCTGTCTTGTGCCACCTTTTCTAACTCTCCCCGGCTTTTGCCCATTTTCCTCACATTCACATCCAGGACTTTTCTACAACTATTCTTTGGCCTTCCTCTTCCCCTTTTTCCCTGTAGGTTCCAGGATAGGGATTGTTGGTGGCTTCCTCAGCCAATCCATCACCATCTTCTTCTCAAAATCTCTTGCTGTACTGGGCATTGCCCTGCTCTTTCCCATAAGCTGATGTTAGCAGGTCACTGCCTATATATTTACTTGCACATCTGCAGGTGCTGGTGATTATTCACCTTTCAATATGACCCGCTGTAGTCTCCCCTTTAACCAGTTGCTTATCCACCTCTCAACTTTCATATTAATCCCTATCTTTTCCAATTTAACCAATAATTCCCCATGTGGTACTGTATCAAATGCCTTACTAAAGTCGAGGTAGATTAGATCCACTACATTTCCTTTATCTAAAAAATCTGTTACTTTCTCAAAAAAGGAGATGAGGTTGGTTTGGCACGATCTACCTTTTGTAAAACCATGTTGTAATTTGTCCCAATTGCCATTAGCCTCAATGCCTCTAACTACTTTCTCCTGCAAAATTTTTTCCAGGATCTTACATACTACAGATGTCAAACTAACAGGCCTATAGTTACCTGGGTCGCTTTTTTTCCCTTTCTTAAAAATAGGAACTATATTAGCAGTTCTCCAGTCAAATGGTACAACTCCTGAGTTTAGAGATTTATTAAAAATTTTTGCTAATGGACTTGCAAGTTCATGTGCCAGTTCCTTTAATATTCTTGGATGAAGATTATCTGGGCCCTACATATATGGAGGGCTCTACATGATCTGCTTATCAGCAACAACCAGATTTTCTTAGAGCACAAATGGCTCCCTGGGCTCCTTATTTTTGGATGCCACTGCTTACGCTTTGCCCCCCACAGTGGCAAATGTTCAATCAACCTCCTTAACAATATAAAAAGAGACCATGTAAGACAAAGCATATGGCAAAGCCCTGCTCTCTTTTAAACCTGTCACCCCACACCTCTATGAGGGGAACTGACAGTGAAAGCCATTGCTCTCCGATGTTGGCTTCTACATCTACATTGCTTTCAAATGCAACCTCAGCCATAGAGCAGGCTTTGTTATCACCTGTTACTCGTACCACCGATGATCTCTCGTCTTTTCAAGATTTATTTAATAGAGCTGTTACTGATTTGACTGTATCTATGGAAGAAGTTCAGGTTTCTCAACATGAACTCGCTAACATCCTGCAGCCCAGTAGAGCAACTAAGATGGCACTTCCTATTATTCTAGCCATCTTGGAGCCTGCTAAAACCCCATGGCAAACACCTGCATTCATCCCACCAACAGGCAGGAAAGCCGACAGAAAATATGTTCCCCCCAAAGGTTTTCAATTCCTCTTTTCTCACCCTCCACCCAACTCCCTCATAGTAGACACTGCACAGTAGAGAAACAAACAACAAAATCATTCCACCCCATCCGAAAAGGACAATAAACATCTGGACATATTTGGAAAGAAGGTTTATGCCTCTTCAGACGAGAGTGGCGAACTATGCTGCTTTATTAAGAAAATATGACTTAAATAATTATACAAAATTCAATACTTTCATTGAAGATATCCCTGACTGCAAAAAGGCACAATTTTAGGCTCTTGTTTCAGAAGACCAGATAATACCGCGAATAGCCCTGCAAGCCGCACTTGACACAGCAGACACAGCTACAAGGACTACGGCAACAGCAGTCATTGAGAGATGAGTTTCTTGGTTAAACTCTACTGCTTTTCCCCCACCAAGTGCAACCATTAGTAGAAGACCTTCCATTTGATGAAGAAAAGGTATTTTCTGCAAAGACCAATGAACTGCTGCAATTGATGAAAGATTCCAGAGCCATATTGTGGTCACTCTGTATCCAAACCCCTATGACGAGACAGAGGCTGTACAGGTACCAACCATATCAGAGACCTAGGTACCCACAATTCACTTACCAGTACCAGAGACAAGAATATGCCCCGTACCGACAGGGGGTGCAGAGGCAACACACATAACACCCTCAGACTAATAACCCCAACCGCTCATCCCAACCCAGCAAGAACATTTGAAACAACAGTTGAGAGATGTAAAATGACACCACATGCACCAGAGCTTGAGATTGGTTCCAAACTTTTCCTATTTTGTTGATTACCTTTCCTTTCAAATTGGGTATCTATTACCACTGATAAGTGGGTAACTCAAACCATCTCCCTAGGTTATACCATCTGTTTTCTCTCCCCCTTCTGTCCCCAACCAACCCCCCATCCCTCTTCAGAGACCCCTCTCATGAAATCATTTTAAAACAAGAAATTGACCATCTTCTCAAATTAGGAGCCATAGAAGCAGTACCCCAAGAGTTCCACGGAACTAGTTTCTACTCATATTATTTTCTTGTAGAGAAGAAGACAGGTGGTTGGAGGCCGATCCTTGATCTTCGGTTACTAAATAAATACATAAGGAAACAGAAATTCAAAATGGTCACCCTAAATACTATTATCCCGGCTCTGGAATCTGGTGACTGGTTTTCTTCTCTCGACCTGCAGGGTGCATATTTTCATGTATCCGTTCGCCCCTCTCATAGACGTTTTCGTCGTTTCACTTTAGGTCTCGAACACTACCAGTACACGGTACTGCCCTTTGGTCTCTGCACTGCACCAAGGGTATTCACAAAGATGCTAGTGGCTGTCGCTGCTCACTTCAGAAAACAAGGAATCACAATTTACCCATACTTAAATGACTGCCTTATCAAAGTGATAGAAATGTAGCCGTGTTAGTCTGGGGTAGCTGAAGCAAAATGCAGGACAATGTAGCACTTTAAACACTAACAAGATGGTTTATTAGATGATGAGCTTTCGTGGGCCAGACCCACTTCCTCAGATCAAATAGTGGAAGAAAATAGTCACAACCATATATACCAAAGGATACAATTAAAAAAAAGAACACATATGAAAAGGACAAATCAAATTTCAGTTAGTCTGGGGTAGCTGAAGCAAAATGCAGGACAATGTAGCACTTTAAACACTAACAAGATGGTTTATTAGATGATGAGCTTTCGTGGGCCAGACCCACTTCCTCAGATCAAATAGTGGAAGAAAATAGTCACAACCATATATACCAAAGGATACAATTAAAAAAAAGAACACATATGAAAAGGACAAATCAAATTTCAGAACAGGAGGGAGA